GTTGGTAGGAGACAAAGAACGTTAGGCAACTTTTTCGAACGTTTCGCTAACAGTAGGCTTTTCAGTCGAATACAGAAAGTAGGCAGGAACAGATAGAGAGTTGAGACGATGTAATCAGTCCATCCCTTAAAGGGTCGTAGAATTTGAGTGTTGTCAGTCTCGGGCCTGAGAGTTCAGTGCATAGTCAGGAACTATCTGAAGATCAAGCGACAGTGCGAGATTAAATACTGTCGGAAGGAGAGGTGCATAGTAGTAGCAGTGTAGTGTAGTAGTAGAGAGAAGTAGCCATGATAGGTAGGTCCTCTCAGATCCAACAGTTCTCACTGAAAGGGTTGTCAAGGTGTTTTCTGTACCAAGAGGCCATGTGTTGCAGTGTCTGACAAGATGAACATCAAAATGGTATAAAATACGACAGGTTGGTAGGTAAGACACAAAGGCACAGTTAGGCAACTATTCCGAAGTTTCGCCTACACAGGTCTCTTCAGCTGAAAAGAAAGTAGGCAGGACAGTAGAGATGTGAAGCGATGTAATCAGTCCATCACCTTGAAGTCGTAGAATTTGAGGTTTCAGTCCCTCAGCCTGGAGAGTTCAGTGCCATAGTCAGGAACTTCTGAAGATCAAGCGACAGTGCGGAGACTTAAATATTGTCGGAAGGAGAGGTGCATAGTAGTAGTAGTAGTAGTAGTAGTAGTAGTAGTAGTGAGAATGTAGCCTAATGTTGCCTTTGTCGCTTTACATTCTACAACCTGTCGGTATTTTATACCATTTTGATGTTCATCTTGTCAGACACTGCAAACATGGCTCTTGGTAGAGAAAACACCTTGGACAACCCTTTCAAGTGAGAACTGTTGGATCTGAGAGGGCCTGACTATCAGTGGCTACATTCTCATACTACTACTACTATACTACTACTACATGCACCTCTCCTTCGACAGTATTTAAGTCTCCGCACTGTCGCTTGTTTGTAGTTCCTGACTGGATGAACTCTCCAGGTAGTAGGATGACAACTCAAATTATACGACTTCAAGGGTGATGGATGATTAGATCGTCTTCACATCTCTACTGTTCTGCTACTTCTGTATTCGATGAAGAAGCCTACTGTTAGTGAACGTTTTGGAATAAAGTTGCCAAACTGTTGCCTTTGTGTCTTACTACAACCTGCGATTTTATACCATTGTGTTCATCTTGTCAGACACTGCAAACATGGCTCTTGGTCAGAAAAACCTGGACAACCCTTTCAAGTGAGAATGTTGGATCTGAAGTGACTGACCTATCAGTGGCTACATTCTCACATATACTATCCCCTATGCACCTCTCCTTCGACAGTATTTAAGTTCCGCACTGTCGCTGATCTTCAGATAGTTCCTGACTATGGCACTGAACTCTCCGGCTGAGGGACTGACAACCTCAAATCTACGACTTCAAGGGTGATGGACTGATTACATCGTCTTACATCTTATGTTCTGCCTACTTTCTGTATTCGATGAAGAAGCCTACTGTGTAGGCGAAACGTTTCGGAATAAAGTTGCCTAACTGTTGCCTTTGTGTCTTACCTACCAACCTGTCGGTATTTTATACCATTTTGATGTTCATCTTGTCAGACACTGCAACACATGGCCTCTTGGTACAGAAAACACCTTGGACAACCCTTTCAAGTGAGAACTGTTGGATCTGAGAGGGACCTGACCTATCAGTGGCTACATTCTCACTACTACTACTACTACTACCATGCACCTCTCCTTCCGACAGTATTTAAGTCTCCGCACTGTCGCTTGATCTTCAGATAGTTCCTGACTATGGCACTGAACTCTCCAGGCTGAGGGACTGACAACCTCAAATTCTACGACTTCAAGGGTGATGGACTGATTACATCGTCTTCACATCTCTACTGTTCCTGCCTACTTTCTGTATTCGACTGAAGAAGCCTACTGTGTAGGCGAAACGTTTCGGAATAAAGTTGCCTAACTTTTGCCTTTGTGTCTTACCTACCATAACAGGAGAGACTATGTGATGGCAGGGTTTACTGTTTTCAGGAGGATTCTTGCTAAGACTTCAGAGATGGTGAAGCTGCCGTTGTTTTGTTTAATTGTATTCGAAACAGCGATCAGTGCTGATTCGAGGCACTTGCGTCTGCAGAAATTAGTTTCTTTGATCACTAATTGGGCGTCTCTGAATTTCATGAGATGATTGGTGGAATTTCGGTGTTGTACATAGGCGTTGTTCAAGTTATCGTTCCTACATGCGTAAATGTGTTCATTGAGGCGGGTGTCGAGGTTTCTTGCTGTTTCACCTACGTAAATCTTGTCACAGCCACGATCCAGTCAACTCAGGAGTTTACACTATACCCTGTGGAGGCTGTGACAAGATTTACGTAGGTGAAACAGCAAGAAACCTCGACACCCGCCTCAATGAACACATTTATGCATGTAGGAACGATAACTTGAACAACGCCTGTGTACAACACCGAAATTCCACCAATCATCTCATGAAATTCAGAGACGCCCAATACTACTACCACTAGTATTGCACCTCACTCTGAGCCTATATATACCCTCTGTGTCCATGTATTGTTTGTAATGGCTTGATAAAGCTCCTGGAGAGCGAAACGTTGCCACAATAAAATGTCACATTAGTTGCACTTGTGTCCTTTTACTTTACAGGTGTATATAATCATGTATCTCTCCCACCTGCGTTCCAGGGAATACAGGTTCAGGAACTTCAAGCGCTCCCAGTAATTGAGGTGTTTTAACTCCGTTATGCGTGCCGTGAAGGTTCTCTGTACATTTTCTAGGTCAGCAATTTCACCTGCCTTGAAAGGTGCTGTTAGTGTGCAGCAATATTCCAGCCTAGATAGAACAAGTGACCTGAAGAATGTCATCATGGGCTTGGCATCCCTAGTTTTGAAGGTTCTCATTATCCATCCTGTCATTTTTCTAGCAGCTGCGATTGATACAATGTTATGGTCCTTGAAGGTGAGATCCTCCGACATGATCACTCCCAGGTCTTTGACGTTGGTGTTTCGCTCTATTTTGTGGCCAGAATTTGTTTTGTACTCTGATGAAGATTTAATTTTCTCGTGTTTACCATATCTGAGTAATTGAAATTTCTCATCATTGAACTTCATATTGTTTTCTGCAGCCCACTGAAAGATTTAGTTGATGTCCGCCTGGAGCCTTGCAGTGTCTGCAATGGAAGACACTATCATGCAGATTCGGGTGTCATCTGCAAAGGAAGACACGGTGCTGTGGCTGACATCCTTGTCTATGTTAGATATGAGGATGAGAAACAAGATGGGAGCGAGTACTGTGCCTTGTGGACTAGGAACTAGGCCCTAAAAGGGTTGTACTTTGGAATTATATCTACATATCTATAGTTCACTTATCTGTTACAAGCAAATTTAGGAAATTTGCTTAGTATATCTGGTATCTTATTTTCATTAATAAGATATCTTGACATGTCACATCGGCTATTGTACTCTCTATCTTTGTATTCCTCAATAAGTGGACAATTAAGCACATAGTGTTCAAGACAGTGACCATACGCTTAACCACATAATTTGCATTTAGTTTGATCGCCATGTGTGTGTCTCCCAAACTGTCAGAAGTACTTGTAACCAAGCCTAAGCCTGGCCACTACAACATCAGTCAGTGTTCACATTGCAAGTTGCTCCATAAACATACTTATCTACGTTCATGTTATCATAGTGGGTTATAGATCTACTCAGACTTCTAACTGCATTCCTATAACATTCATTTTCATTATTTACTTCTCTCCTTATATTATTCCCAATACTAGACACAGATATACCAGTTATATTTTACATTCTCCTTCAGGGTACTCTTCTTGGCTAACATACCAACTTTATCATGAAGGAGTAATCCAATGTTATGTAGGAGAAACCTTTCAAAAATAAAGATGCCAAATTGTTGAACGTGTGTCTTATCCAACTACTTATCGGCATTTTGTGCCTTTCTCATAAGTATTCACAAGCATCGCATCTTACAATCAGACTAGACATATGCTGCTTTGTATGATAATCTATGTAACTGTATTTGTGTATACCTGAATAAACTTACTTACTTACAATCAGACTGTTTAGAGCAAGTAATGGGGAAAGAGACTCAGTTATGAATAACTGTTCGAGGTCGCAGTTTCCATCAATAAGTATGGTACACAGTTGAGTCTGTAAATTGGAAACCCAGTTACTAATTCTAACACACAAAGTTTTACCCTCTGAATATTTCATGGTTTTATAGTGAATCCGGTTACTGACTCAGGAAAGGATATAGGCGCATCCTGATCTGCTGGAGCCTAGGCAAGACAATTCACCTGGCGTGATTGGAAACCTCTTATTCACGTGTTTATTTGGAAAAGGAATTCTAGTTTCTTTTACCTTTCATCGTCCAAATCACAAACAGTGTCCAGAATATCTTGCTGCCAATTTTGTCAAGGTTGGGAACCAAAGCAATCATGGTACTAGGGGGAGAGAGCACAATTTTGTTGTACCCAGTCAGTGGCCAGGCTTCAAACACCTTTTATTGTACAGCAATAAAGGAATTGCACAGACTGCCCGCACATGTCAAAGCCAGTCATAGCATGAACCAGTTCAAGAAGAGTGCCAAAAGGTGTCTGATGAATGTAGCTACAGAAAAGGAGGGGAATGATTTTTTATTTTTTAACTAACACACGTGTAATTTTACCTTATTCTTAGCAATGACTCTCGTATTGTAGATAGTCTTAATGACCCTCGTGTAGTAGATAGTCTTTTTAGTATGATAATAAGATGTTATCTTCATTATAGAATAATAATAAGATATTATAACCTTTATATTATAATAATAAGGTAAAAGGACCCCAATGGAAATGTCACTGCCTGACTTTTTTGTGTTATCCCAGGTTCTCTACACATATGCTGCTATGTATGATAATCTATGTAACTGTATTTGTGTATACCTGAATAAACTTACTGGGCAATTGGAAAGGTTTAATACGGCGTTGGCTGTCAGTGGGCTTTTAAACCCCCAACAACAAGAACAAGAGAGGGTGGTGGCCGCTGCCGCTACTAAGAAACATTAACGTGTTTTGCTTCGCTTCTTGCTTTACGTCTTAAAAGTATGTATTATGAAAAGTTTGGCCTGCTTGATTTACTTGTCCTCACTATTTTTGATTTAGGCAACCATACAGGATGAACTGTGGTGATATGTTAAAGTGTCTTGCAGCTGGGTGGCAGAGAACTTTATTTAGATTAACCCGCCAAGAAGGTTAATAACCAAGAACACCACGATGAAGGAACATTGAAGCAACCCTCCTGGCCCATGCTAGGCAGGTCCAACTCACATGCAGTCATGTACCCTCCTACCTTAAAGTTCCTGTCTCAATGACGCTTCCTGGGAGTTTGTTCCACTTATCTACTCCTCAAGGGAGGTTCCTTGACACTGGTGAGGGGCTCTTGATCTTGGGAATTGGATCTGTTCTCCAGTTCCCTGAATTAAGCGTGAATACCTTCCACATTCCCCCCACAAAGGCTGTATAATCCTACGGGTTTAGCGCTTCCCTTTTATAATAATAATAATAATCTTCTCATCTACAACTCAAATGCCAAACCGGTACTTTCCTTTATCCTGTCTACATCTAAATTTCTCTGACTAATCAAGTACTATACATACAATTTATAGTTAAACTGTGATAAACACTGAAAATGAAGGAGTTACAAGTATAATTTACCTTGTGAATATCAAAATGGTATACAATACTGACAGGTTGGTATATAAGACACATAGGCAACAGTTAGGCAACTATTCCGAAACGTTTCGCCTACACAGTAGGCTTCTTCAGTCGAATACAGAAAGTAGGCAGGAACTGTTCCTGCCTACTTTCACTGCCCAGACCCCTGAAATTAATATTACTCTCAGTGTCCAAATTCTGAAAAAAACTGAAATGGTAAAGAATCCAAAAGTACAAAATTTGGTGGAAAACTTACAGAATTACACAAGTGCAATGTTGGCGGTCTTAGCACAATTTGAACATCTGTGACTTCATCTAATTTGAGTCCTATTTTAAGCCAGTTCCATTGCTTCATTTGGCCAAATTCTTAGCTATTTTGCTAGTATGCCTTTATGTATAGTATGTCTTCTATTCTGTTGACTGAGTACTCATAGCAATAGATACCAGTATTGTCTTCACAAACATTGTAACCTCATCTACTCAGCCTGTAGCCGTAAGTGTCCACAGGCAGTGTCCTTGGCCCTCTGCCCTTTCTCATTTACATCAGTGATCTCCCCAATGCATTTCATCTCCTTAAAACTGTTCTATTCACATATGACACTACTTATGTCTTCTCCCACTCAAATCTGACTATGCTCAGTGACAGTGTTAATGATGAGCTACTAAAAATACCTACATGGATGACGACCAATAAACTCACCCTCAATATAGACAAAACCTATTACATGCTGTCTGGAAACAGAGCTTTAACCCGTAAACTGTCCAAGCAGATCTTTGTTCACATGCGTAGTGCTCCAAAAGTAGATCTACGTTTTTTTTACATATTTTCAAATACGTATAACAAAAAAAAAAGTAGATCAAAGTTTTTTTTACACGTTTTCAAATAAAAAAAAAAAGATCTACTTCTTATACATACTTTCAAATGTTGAAAAAACGTATATATACGTTTGGACCGTTTATGGGTTAAATATCCGTGTAACATATTGATCAATGGTTCCTTCATTACAAGACACACTGAGAAAATGTTTAGGTCTTCACCTTGACTGCAACCTTAAATTTCATACCCACATCCAACACATAGCCACTCAGTTCCCTTCATTCCAATATATCAATCATCACACTCACAGAAACTTGGCTTAAGCCTGATATTACAGATTTCTATACCATTCCTGGCTACATGGCCATACACAACTGTAGAACAGACCAGTAAGGGGGAGGAACAGCTATATACTACTCAAATCAACTCGAATGTATCAATAAATCTTGCACAAGGGACGAACATGGAGAATAAATCATAGCCAAATTTAAATCAAAAGACCTGCAAAAACCCCTCACAGTTATAAACATCTACAGAGTACCACAGTCAAACATTTATCACTTTAGTGAATAACTAGGAAACATGATTACTGATGCACACATGAATAAAGACCACCTACTACTAACAGGAGATTTCAACATAAACATACTACATGACCAGGACCCACAAGTAACCAAATTCACAAACACAATGAGTAACTGCCTGTTGCTATCAGCAATATCTAAACCTACAAGAATCTCCGAGACAAGCATCTCCTTAATAGACCACATCTGGAGAAACACCATATCCCCTTTAAAATCAGGCATAATCACAGACAACACTACAGACCACTACCCAACCTTTCTCATAACTAATCTGGGCAAACTGCCACAAGACATTACTAAAGTAACCTTCAGACTACATAACGAGACAGCAGTTAACAACTTTATAGAAGCTATGACACAGGTTATGGAACATTACACCTTGATATAAATTATTGCATACTGATATAAAAGTTAGGTAACTAAAGTGATTTAGTTCAGGGTTAATATTTGAATTTATGGTTCTGTAAATGTAGGTTCCATAGTAGTAGGTATGAATGTTTTATACAGTGAGTAGGTTTAGGTCTTTGAAGAGTTGGGGTGTGTTGCCTAGCATTGGATTGCGTGATAATTCTTACTGCAGATTTTGGTTGGGTTATTATTGACTTTAGGTGGGTTGCTGCTATTGACCCCCAGGCACAAATAGCATAGGTGAGGTATGGATAGATGAGTGAATAATATAGTGTGAGTAGGGCTGATTGTGGTATAAAATAACGTATCTTTGAGAGGATCCCAACTGTTTTGGATACTTTTTTTTGTTGTTGTGTGTTGGATATGAGTGTTGAATTTCAAGTTGCTGTCAATGTGCAGATGCAGAAATTTGCCCTCAGTATGTTTAGCAATAAGAGTGTTGTCAATCATAATGTTCAGTTGGGCATCACCTGCTCTGCTCCCAAGCATATAATCTTTCCATAGCCTGAAATCATAGAGCCAGTTTGAAACTACTTAAGAAATCCCAATTGACTTAAGATCACTGAATCAGTTTAAAGTATTAATACACACTTAAAATTGTACCATTGTAAATTGTACAAATTATAATATTTTTTCTACCTCTTTTTTGTAATAATGCACAATTAGAATTTACCACTCAATAACCTGTGTCAAGTATTAGGTAGTCTGTAAGCATTAGCATTAGTCTGCCCAAAATGTACATGCTTTCTTTTGTGCTGAACAATATTTTATTACATGTAAACTACATTTTGTATACTGCACAGAGAAATAATCTTCGTTTGTTTAAATAACAAAAAAGGCACAATACCGTGACTGGAACGATGCACAAATAACCCGCACATAGAAGAGAGGAGCTTACGACGACGTTTCGGTCCGACTTGGACCATTTACAAAGTCACACTAACCAGAAGTGTAGCAGGACGGCTACACTTCTGGTTAGTGTGACTTTGTAAATGGTCCAGGTCTGACCGAAACGTCGTCGTAAGCTCCTCTCTTCTATGTGCGGGTCATTTGTGTTTCATTTGTTTGTTTGTTACATACTGCTGGTAAACTCTGAGCAGGCTGCTTTTCCCTTTCTCACAGGAGTGGTGTGCTTTATTAATTTATTTATATATTAATTTGAACATGATACATAGAAGTACAAGGAAATACAGTGGTTAAGTGTAACATGCCAAAGCCCCTTGTATGCAGAGCATTATGGGCTGGCTTAAAATTAACTTAAGATTAACTAAGCAGTGATACATTCAGTGGTAAACATTGTTGTAAACAGTTAACAATTAAGCACAAATGAGTACAGTGGACCCCCGGTTAACGATACTTTTTCATTCCAGAAGTATGTTCAGGTGCCAGTACTGACCGAATTTGTTCCCATAAGGAATATTGTGAAGTAGATTAATCCATTTCAGACCCCCAAACATACACGATACAAACGCACTTACATAAATACACTTACATAATTGGTCGCATTGGGAGGTGATCGTTAAGCGGGGGTCCACTGTATTTCAAAGACAGGTCATATGGTCATTTACCATGTTGCTGTGCATTCAGTAATGTAATTAAAAATAACAAAGTTTGATTGGGTCACAGGTTAACATTTATGAGATACAATTATTCAGTATTTATTTAGTTGTGGGTGAGTAAGTGATTTTTAAGAAGAGACTTGAATTTATAAACAGACAGTGTTTCTTTTATATTCACAGGTAATGAATTCTAGATTTTTGGGCCTTTTATGTGCATTGAGTTTTTGCTTAGTGTGAGATGGACACGAGGAATATCAAAGAGTGATCCGTGCCTTGTGTTATGGTCATGTGTTCTATTGAGGTTGGTAAGGAGACGTTTGAGGGGAGAGTTTATATCCGAGTTAAGTGCTCTATGTATGTAGTAGGTACAATAATACGTATGGATGTTTTGTATGGTGAGTAGGTTTAGAGTTTTGAATATTGGTGGAATGTGCTGCCTGTAGTGGGAATTTGTTATCATTCTGACTGCAGCCTTTTGTTGGGTAATTAATGGTCTGAGATGGTTTATTGTTGTTGAGCCCCATACACAAATTCCATAGGTGAGATAGGGGTAAATAAGTGAGTGATATAGGGCCAGGAGGGCTGACTGTGGAACATAGTAACGTATCTTCGATAGTATGCCTACGGTCTTGGAAATTTGTTGTTTATGTGTTTGAAATTTAAGTCTATTATCAAGGTGGATTCCTAAGAATTTTCCCTCTGAGCTTTGTGATAGGTGATCTGTTATCATTATGTTAAGAGGGACATCTGTAGCTCTGTTACCAAACTGAATGAATTAGGTTTGTCAATGTTTAGAGTAAGTTTGAATATTGGTGGAATGTGCTGCCTGTAGTGGGAATTTGTTATCATTCTGACTGTGACTTTGTCAATGGTCCAAGTCGGACCGAAACGTCGTCGTAAGCTTCTGTCTTTCATGTGCGGGTTATTTGTGTATCGTTCCAGTCACGGTATTGTGCCTTTTTGTTATTTATTTATTTATAAGTTTGTTAGTCCTCATCCAGGTAGATATTTTCTGTAATTCAGTATTCACAGTATTGGCTAGCATGACTGGGCTCAGGTGAGAGAAGACGTATGTAGTGTCATCTGCAAATAGTGTGGGTTTGAGTAGTTGCGATGCATTTGGTAGGTCATTTATGTAAACGAGAAAGAGAAGAGGGCCAAGGACACTTCCCTGTGGGACACCAACTGTAATTGGCTGTGCAGAAGAGTTTGCTCCATTGTGTACACATATTGGCTTCTGTTGCTGAGGTATGACTTTAGGTAGTTGAGGGAGTGCCCTCTTATACCATAGTGCGACAATTTTATGTGGAGCAAGTCATGGTCAACTGTATCAAAAGCTTTACGTAAATCAATGAAGATTCCCAGTGGGACTTCTTTTTTCTCTAGTGCAGTGTATATTTGTTCTAGCATGTGTATAATAGCATCATTCGTATTTTTATTAGGCCTGAACCCAAACTGACAGCAGTTGAGTATGTTGTGGGAGATGAGATAGGAATAGATTCGCTTATGAATTAATTTTTCGAAGATTTTAGAGAGAGAGTGTAAGTTGGATATTGGCCTATAGTTATTCAAGTCTTTTTGGTCTCCTCCTTTATGGATCGGGGTGACCTTCGCTATTTTGAGAACTGTAGGGAAGGTAGAGGATTCGATGTATTTGTTAAAGAGTGTTGCAATGATTGGTGACAGCACTTGCGACACTTTTTTTGTATATAAAGGGTGGTAAGGTATTTAAATCTCATGTCTTGTTTTTTAGTGTGTTGATAATAAGGGAAAATTCTGTTGGGTTAGTCGGAGCTAGGAACAGTGTGTTCGAGTAGTTGCCAGTGAGGTAGTCATTGGGTGGGGTATTTGAGCTTGGGATTTTATTGGCAAGGTTTTTTTTCTATGGTGGAGAAGAAATCATTGAGTCTGTTTGCTGTTTCAGTTGGTGGGAGTTGGGGTTCATCTGATTTTGTTAGATCAATTGTGCTGTTTTGTGATATCTTTTTTGTTCCTAGAATTTCTGATAGGGTTTTCCAGGTCTTTTTTATATCACCTTTTAAGTTGGATAATCTGTTCTCATAATACAGTTTTTTTGCCCTTCTTATCAGGCTGGTTAGGATTGACGAGTAACGTTTTGTTTGGTCTCTGGTTACCACTTCCCCATGGCTTGAGGCCTACACAGCCCCACTCCTGCACCTTACCCATGCTTTCACCTACACCACTTCCCCACAGCTTCAAGCCCACACAGCCCCATACCCACACCTTACCCATCATTTTTCACTCCCCCCCCCCCCTTCCACAGCTTCAAAACCCTCACAGCTCCATACTCACCTTACCCATGCTTTCTTGGCCTACACGTTTAGTCATGTAGCCACCCACCACCCTCACCAACAATCGCACACTCACCCATCCAGTCACCCACCAACCACACCACCATTCACACTGAACCACTCACACTGCCCCCTACATGGTCACCATCACACTGCCTCATTGCTTCCAGACTCCACTCTCCACACCCCTTCACTGCCCAGCATCCTCCACCTCCCAACACCAACCTCCAGCTTCTGTCCCATCTGCCCTTTTTTAAAACTCCCATTCAGTCGCAACAAGTAGGACAGCCAAATAATTAACCCTTTCAGGGTCCAGAGGCCAAATTTCAAAGTGTGCACCAGTGTCCAAGAATTTTCAAAAAATAATTTTGTTATTTTTTCTCATGAAATGGTAGAGAATCTTTTTCTGAAGGTAATAAAACAAAAAGTACGAAATTTGATGGAAAATTGATGAAATTATGCTCTTGTGAATTTTGATGTGTCAGTGATACTTATGCATCGACGATTTTGCTGACTTTGACTCCCATTTTAGGCCAATTACCTTATTCCAGTCGACCAAATTCTTAGCTATTTCACTAGTATTACTTCTATTCTATCGATTGAGCACAAGAAATTGCCAACTAAACTGTTTCAACTACAAAATAAAGTGATTGGAAATTGATAATTTGGCCAATTTAGTGTAAAGTTCAAAATATTCCAATTTCAAAATAGGGTCCAGAATAAACAATGCAGGCATTCCTTGCACTAAACTAACATTTCCTCTGTTCATTAGTTACGTTTTCAAGCTTTACAAATGAATTCCATTTTGATTTTTAATTCACATAATGAATTTTTATTCAAACCAAAAAACAGAAGATTTACTGTCAAGCAATATTGTAATAATTGTATATATAATATCAGTACATTTGTGAACATATATTAGACCCACCAGCTGGCATGTATTAGATGTGTGAGGTCATTCGTTTACTCTTGAACATCGGCAAAAATTTAACATTTCCGCTACTTTGAGCTCAGTTTCAAGCCATTTTCAGTACTAAAACCAATCAAAATTGTCTCTATTTCTGTAATATATTTTCCATTCTATCAAATGAGACCAAGAAATTGCAAATACAACTGTAAAAACACACACGAAAAAACACTGCAAAGTTGCTGTTTTAATCGAAAATTACAGTCTCAGTTTTCTTTCTCTCATTATGCACTGTGCGCTGCAGGATTTGTTTTATGTGGTGTACACATACCACATATATGTATTCTCTCATATCTAGGCTCAAATTTACCACTCACAGCTTATCAGAGTGAGCTGAGCTCATGGCGTCGATCTACGGTTTGGACCCTCAACGTAAAGCCGTAGATCTACGGCACGGACCCTGAAAGGGTTAAGTACCTCTGCTAGTAGAGATGTGGTTGCAGAATCTTTGATGAGCATCACCTCATCGACCTTCCATTACATATCATCATTGTTATTTATAATTTTGAGTCTTATAAAAATTTAGTAGGCTTTTTGTTGGGGACTAATGAATGTAACCTTAATTTTCCCATATGCTCTTCATTTTGTTTCTCACAGTTTTTTTAACATGTGCCATTTTAACCCTTTCAGGGTTTCGGCCATACTAGTACGGCTTACGCCCCAGGGTTTTTGACGTACTAGTATGCCTAAATTCTAGCGCCCTCAAATCTAGTGAGAGAAAGCTGGTAGGCCTACATATGGAAGAATGGGTCGATGTAGTCAGTGTGCGCAGTATAAAAAAAATCCTGCAGCACACAGTGCGTAATGAGAAAAAAAAAACATTCACCGTGTTTTTGGAATAAAACAGCGACTTTGCACTGTATTTTTGTATGGTATTTATTGTTGTATTCTAGTTTTCTTGGTCTCATTGTATAGAATGGAAGACATATTACAGAAATTGAGATGATTTTGACTGCTTTTCCAATGAAACGTGCCTTGAAATTGAGCTTAAATTAGCAGAAATGTTCGATTTTTACCAAAGTTCAAAAGTAAACAAATCATTCCAAGCGTCCAATACACGTCAACTGGCGAGTCTAATATTCTTTCACAAGTGCGCTGATATTATTTATACCATTTCTACACTAATGCAGTAGTCTGCATAACAGTAAATCTTCTATTTTTTGTAAGAATAAAAATTCAAAGTGGAAAGCATAAGAAATGTAAGAGGGGCCTGGGGATGTGATTGACGAACAGAGAACTTGTTATTTTAGTGCCAGGAATGTCTTTCTTGTTTATTCTGGGCCCTATTTGGAAATTGACATCTTTTGAAGTTTGTGTGAAATTGGCAAAATGGCTAAATTCTGACCACTTTATTGGATAGTTGAAATCGGTAAATGGGTGGTTTCTTGTACTCATTCGATAGAAAAAATGGAGTTCTAGCAAAATAGTCTGACTTTTGCCAACTAGTACACTGGAATTGGCGGAAAATAGAGCTCAAAGTGGGCAAAATCGCCGATGCGTAAACATTGTCGAGACCGCTAACTTTGCGAGAGCATAATTCCGTAAGTTTTCCATCAAATTTCGTACTTTTGGTGTCATTATGATTGGGAAAAGATTCTCTATCTTGTCATAAAAATAAACTTTTTTTTTTTTTTGAAATTTGGGCGATCCTGAGAACAAGTCTCGGAGAGGGCCTGGCGACCCTGAAAGGGTTAAGGAACGTAACTACCATGTTATGCAATGGTCTGCTGTAAATGATTTTAATTTTATTTATGTTTTAATTCTTGTACATATTCTTTTAGAACCTATGTACTATCTCATCTGGTTGTATTCCTTTTTCTGTGTCATCATCTAGTAATACAGTAATTTCTTTATTAATGTGCCTCTTCAGTTATCTTAGTATCCTCTAACTCAATTATATGTCTGGATTTTAAACCTGCTACATACAGAATATCTTATTTTGTAAACACAATCTGAAACTTTTTATTTAGTATCTCACATTTTCTGTTTGACTTCATTAATTTTGTTGTCATCCTTAATTCTTTATAATTTGTTTCCATGTTGCTCTTGTCTGTTGTTTCTTTTCAGAGTTCCTTTCTTCTTTCCCTCCCAGTGAATATACACTGAGATGCAACTCTGTACACACTGGTATATATAAGACATCAAAATGATACACAGATAAGTTAAGATTAATTGTATCAGTAACTGGTGCTTACTATAAAGGATGGTGGAAAGTTAGAACTCTATATTTACAATATAGCATAATAATTTATACTACTTTTTTGAAATATCAGTATTAAATGAGAGTTTGACTTGGCAGTAACATGATTAGTTATTCAAGACCTGATGTGTGTGTGCCATATTAGGTATTTTAATATTTGAATACTTTACTGTACTTTGTTTTGTTTAATATGATTGTCGTCTTGCATTTGCTCTAATTCTTATAATGCATATATGAAATTATATTTAAATTGGTTTGTATAGTGGAATCTGGTACTGAGCTATGAAGAGGAATGTCTTCATTTTCTTAGTTTGTAATATGATTAAAAGTTTCAGAACTCATCATGAAAGTGTTCCATATCTCCTTGTTGTTCCTGGCACTCAGTGTTTATGTTGCTGCTGAAGAGGATGTGGATTTTGTAGACACTGCTTCTGAGGAAGATGGAGAGATTGCTCTGAAGTGTGATGCTTGCAGAATAATAGCAGCTAAGGTAATGCTAGATTCTGCTGTCTCTAATTTAATTTTAAAATACGAACTACAGTGAGTAGCTGTTTTCATTTAATAATTTTCCTCAACATCAGGCTAATATTACTGGAGACAGATGACCCAAAACAACAAATGGTGAAAAACATAGTTACAGAAAGGAACTTTATTGAGACATTATACATGTGGACAGCCCTCACTCAATACACAGGTATGTGCAACAAGTAAATTTATATGAACATATAGTCAGGTGAGGTCACTGTGTGTGGTGAATTGCAAGATGGGAGAACTCCTGGAGGACTACAGGTCCTTCCAGTGACTGGTTTATATAAGGTGAGTTGTGCTACAGGTTTGGCTAAACTGATTATATTTTGTGTGCAAATTAGTGCAGCTCTTCCAGACATGTGTGTCATGTTTTGTCTATTTCTCATAGCATACAGCTTAGGTTGAAAACATCTCTGTGCAACAGGGCTCACAATATGAATAATGCTTGCATGAAACATAGGGATCAGACTGTACACTTGATGTCTTGGAAAGCTTCCCAGCTGGTCATAAAATCTATGACGGCCTTGAGGGGACATGAGCTAGAGTTCGTCACGGCCATGCTGGTGGGGAGATTCACCTGTAAAAACTTGCATCTGTTGTCACATTGGCCCATGTTAACTGTCAGTGGAAGAACACAGTGCAGATGCCTGAAAGCTGTGGTAATCCTAACATAAGGTTCTTTCCAACAGAATCAAGTAGCTTTCAGTTTAGCCAAACCAGTAGCACAACTCATCTTACCTAAACAAGTCATCAGGAGGACCAGTAGGCTTCTTGCAGTGCTCTCATCTCACACTATACCCCACACAAGTGACCTCACTGACCCGGCCACTCACCTGACTATGCTTGTATAAATTTGCTTGTTGTACATTGCGTATTGACTGGAAAAGCCTGTCCATGAGCTTAATAAAATTCTGTTCTCCAATTGTTTCTTTTTTCACCACCAGGCATTATTATACAGGGGGGCCCCACTTATACGGCAGGTTAGGTTCCAGGCTACCACCGTAAAGCGGAAATCACCGCAGTGTGGAACACACTTTTTTTTCCACTTGTAACATATATTAAGTTAGCAATAGAACTAGACATTAAAAACAATAAAAAAGTAAAATACATATATAGTACGCTCATTATTTACCTTAAAATATTTGTAGCCTTAATGTAGGGTGAAATGAGTAGTATTTATTGTAAAAAATCAGGTGTGGTTGGTATGGTAGCCAGCCAGGCCACCCCCACCCCACCCCACCAGCAGTGGGGGAAGGGTGGTGAGATGCAGAATTATGTAAACAGACGAATGCATATGGATTTGGTTCGTACACGTCTGTATTATACCATAATACAAACACTTCACATTGTGTACAAGTTGTCTCCATGTTGGTACAATAGAATTAATAAAGAGCAGCATTCCCATTCTCATGTAGCACCATTTTTAGAAGAAATGACGCTCTAAGTGAAGGCGTACAAAAGGAATAATTTTCTACAGTTACCCCCAGTAATATTATTGTATACACATACAGTGGACCCCCAGTTTTTGTCTGGTGCGGAAATCATTCAATTCAGATTTTGAGCACTTGTTTCGGCAAAATTTCCCCCATTTCCCCCTGGGTATCATACATCCGCTTGGAAATCGTCCTTATCAGATGCCACCACCTGCCTGGGACGCGTACCAGACTCAGTCTGCCTCTGACAGCTCTCGTTGAGTTAGCAATACTCTGCATGTTCATCCATTGTGTTTTGTCGCTGTTTTAAACCGAAAACTTGGTCGGAGTTTTTTTTTTCTCATTATGCACTGTGTGCTGCAGGATTTTTTTATATTGTGCACACTGACCACATAGACCCATTCTTTCATATGTTGGCCTACCAGCTATCTCTCACTAGATTTGAAGGCGCTAGAATTTATGCGTACTAGTACGGCACCAACCCTGGTGTGCAAGCTGTACTAGTACGGCACCAACCCTGAAAGGGTTAATGCTCCTCAGAGTGATTATTTTTTATTTTATTTTTTATTATTATTATTATTATTTTATTATTATTATTATTATTATTATTATCATTATTAAATGGCATCTAAAAAACCAATAAACACTCTTAGTGTTTTTAATGTGTCCCGCATGCCCACAGTTTTGTAAGTTTACTTAGGTACAGGTAAATAAGTAAAGTATCATACTTTTTTTTTTTTTTTTATTTTTTCACACTGGCCGTTCCCCCCAAAGGCAGGGTGGCCCGAAAAAGAAAAAACTTTCACCATCATTCCCCTCCATCACTGTCTTCCAGAAGGGTGTTTTTACATACATTTTTTAAATTGAACATTAACACCCCCCCTTCAAGGCAGGCACTGTACTTCCCATCCCGGGATAAAGCCGCCTGCCATTCCCCTGAACCCCTTCATAATGTTATTTTTGCTCACACCCCCAACAGCACGTCAAGTTTTAAAAAACCATTTGTCTCCTTTCACTCCTAAAAAACCGCTCCGCATACTGCTGGAATCCAACCCCCCTGAAACAAAAAAAACCTCCTTTCCCCCCTCTTCCAACCCTTTTCCTGTGCCCCTACCCCCCCTTTCCTTCCACTACGATGAACATTTTGAAGTCATTCTTTTCGCTCCATTCTTCTCATGCCCAACCCACCTAAAAACCCCTCCTCAGCCCTCGGGACAAAGTTTTGGTAATCCCCACCCCCTCCTAACTTCCAAATACGAATTTTCCCTGCAAAATATTCCACCACACATTGCCCTAAACATGACCTCCACTGCCTCCAGCCTTCCCCCTCGCTGAAACATTCATCACCCATGCTTCACACCCATTAAGGGGTTTGGTAAAAACTATACTCTCAACATTCCCTCTTTGCCCCCAAGGACAAAGTTTTTGTTCCACAGACTCCTAAGGCACCCCTCATCTTTTTCCCCATCATTCTATGATTCACCTCCTTTCAAGATCCATCCCCTGACACGTCCACTCCCAAATATTTTAAACATTACCTCCTCCATACACTCTCCCTCCAATCGATATTCAATCTTTCATACCTAATCTTTTTTTTTCCTCATAACCTTTTCTTTCCCGTTTTCACCTTTAATTTTCTTTTTTTGACACCCTACCCAAAAACATCTACCAATCTCTGCAGCTTCTCTTCGAAATTTCCCAAAAGACAGTGTCATCAGCAAAGAGCAGCTTGACAACTCCCACTTTGTGTGCGATTTCCCCTTTTTCTTTTAACTCCACGCCTCTTGTCAAGCCCTGCATTTCTTCTTTACAACCCCATCTTAAATATATTTAAACAACCACGGTAACACCCACCTTGTTAAGGCCCACTTTTACTAGGAAAAAATTTCCCTCTTTCCACTACTCTAACTTGAGCCTCACTTCCCGTTTTAAAAAATCTTCACTGCTTTTAGTAAAACCTACCTTTCCTACACCATACACTTTCAAATCTGCCACATTTTCCCCCCCATCCACCCCGTCATCGCCCTTTTTCCAAAACCCTAAAACCCCAAAGACCTCTTTAGCCTTTCTAAAAATGTTACTTATATGTTTCACTGTAAACACCTGGGCCACACACCCCCCACCTTTCTAAAGCCTCCTTGTTCACTGCTTCCTATTCTCCGTCTTATCTTAATTCTTTCAAAAAAACTCTACCCTAACTTTCCCGGGTTTCTCGCAACTTACCCCCCATAATTTTTGCACTCTCTTTTATCCCTTTGCCTTTAAACAAAGGAACTATGCATGCTCTCTGCCAATCCCTAGGTACCTTACCCCTTCCATACATTTATTAAATAATTGCACAACCCTCCAAAAAATATATCCCCACCTGCTTTTAAATTTCTACCCCTTTTCCCTCTTCCCGGCTGCCTTTCCCCCTTTCATTTTTCTATGCCCCAGAACATATAAAAAAATTAGTATGTAGTTCTGGGCTACTACCCACACCACCCTACAAAACTAACAATATTTTAAAGCTGCCCGAGCCCTATTATTACCTCGGCATCCATGTTTACTGAGTTTTTAAATTTTTTTTTAACAACACCTTTAGTGCCTTTAAAAACAAAGGAGAAGTAATGAATAATTCATGCCCGGAATTGTAAAAAAAGTGTTATGTATTTCGGGGAGTGACATAATGTTTTTTCCCCCCGCCCGGCTACCCCCCCCAAAGTATAAAACATAAAATGTTTAAATGCTATGCAAAAAGTTTCTTATATAATTTTGAAGAAAATATCATAGATGGATTAATGAAAATGTCTATATTAACGTGCATTTAATGTGCACAAGATTGATTATTATTAGTATTATGTAATGTTTTCCCTCCACCCAGCATCCACACCTCCATAGCATATAAACAGCATGTTTATATGCTATGTAACTTGTGTCTTATATAATTTTGAAGAAAATGCCATAGATAAATTAATGAAAATATCTATATTGACGCAAAATTAGACATTTAACCCTTTGACTGTTTCGGTCATATATATACGTCTTACGAGCCACCATGTTTGATGTATTAATATGCATAAATTTTAGCGGCTTCAAATCAAGCAGGAGAAAACTGGTAGGCCCACATGTGAGAGAATGGGTCTCCATGGTCAGTGTGCACCATATAAAAAAAATCGGGGAGCCAGTGGTGCATTGTGGGAATGCCATTTCAGTAGTCCTTGTTCATCATGCCTAGCGGTAAGAAATATGTGACTCCCCGGCAAATCTGGGACTCTACTCTTCCTAAGTGATGCTCTAACACAGGTGTAAGTGTCAGTGAAGATCAATTTCATGGTTTTGAGGAGTTTGTGACCAAAAACAATGCCCGGGGTACCAGAAGAATGAAGGAGAATGAAGAAGATTAGATTTTTAGATTTTGCCACCGAAGTGGCTAGTTTATTGTGCACCCCATATCCATCCTGTGGACGGTAGCGCGAGAGCATATGGATACACAAAAGGCCTAGGAACTAGGCCCCAAAGGGTTAACAGGAATACATATGGATTTATA